ACCTAAGTTTTTCTCTTTAGTGCATATTTGGGGAAAGTTGCTTTTGAAAACTTAATACAATTAGAGTATGTCAAAGCACAACCCATAAGTGAAGAAAATATTGGAAAGAAGATTTTATTAGATATCTAACACCAAAAGTTAAGACTATGTTAAATTTACATGATTGATTAAACACACAGAATAGTTAAGTTGAAAGATTTTTATCTTGTCATAAGATTTTGAACATTTCCAAATAGAAGGAATACAGTTACTCATGAACATGTTGCCTAAACAACCTATATTCTACAAATATTTGACCAAATGTCAAACCCTAAGTAAATCTAAAATAAAATTAAACCCTGATTTTGTAGTTACATAGGATTCGATGTTTACCCAGATAAACCCTACATCAATGAAAGTGGAAAGAGTGAGATGAAATAATCTCTGTATATTACTATAAATTAAGATTATCTATATGAATCAAGGATAATTATGTATTTAAAAAAGACAAAAGTTAAATAGGTGAAAAGATAAAAACACAATTATAAGACTTGTAACAAAGAGATGAAAATAGAAAGTTGTTGTTAGATTAATGTGTGAGATGTGTTAGGCATGAGATGTGTGATGATGAGCATGAGTGAGGCAGAGTGAGCATGAGGTGTAATGAAGAAGAAACCACATTACAAATGAAGTGATCAGTGAGCATGAGAGTGAGAAAAAAAAACACTTTGTTTTTTTTTTATGGAATGCCCTAGACATTGCCATGTATAATTGAATTTTATTTTTAATTTTTGTACCTTTTTTTTTTGGAGTAAAACAGTTCTTTTTCATTAAATGACAAAATTTCAAACTAATTATTTTTAGATTATTTTACAATTTTTTTTGTGACAAGTGTAAAAAGTTATCCCTTTCTATTTGTATATAACATAGATTTATCTTGATGTTTTTTTATTTTTTATTAATAAAAAAACACATATTTATAATGTTTAAATGCACCAATAAGAAAAAAAATATAATGCTTCATAGAAATATAAAATGCCTCATAAAAAAGTTACCAAAATTTAAAAAAAAATATTTTATATTAAGGTCGAGACCACGTAAAATACTAATACAATGTAAAACTTATAAAATTAAATGAAGTATTCACTTTAACAATCTTAATATATATATAGATAGATAGAATAATTGAGTATGAGTGATTTTTTGATAGTAATTATAATTATAATAATAATAAATATAGCAGTGGTAAGGTATGTAAATGAAAAAATGTGAAAAGGATGAAAGTTGAATTAATTAAGTTATATGAATAGATAGAAACAACAAGAGAAGAGTGGAACCCACTTAAAGTGCATGTGCAGGCAATAGGACCAGGTGGCTTAAAGCTTACTCTCATTTTTGGTACCAAAAAGAATCCAATGTTTTTCTCATACCTACCCAATATGTGCATGCCATTCTCTTGCTATTTTTCCAACTGGTTTCCATCTCAAACAAACATCGAAGTGATTATATTACATATAATAATATGTTCTTCTTCAAAAATCATAAAATAATGCTCATCCAAGTACATACCATAGTGCCTGCACATGTCTAAACAACTAACTCATAGAATCAACCTCGAAGTTTGATGAAATTAACTTTCCACTTATATGGACTTTCCATCATCACAGAACAACCTAGTCCCAATTAAAAGGCTACTTAAAAATTATGTTTGACAGAATCCACACATTAATATTAAACCACAAAATTATTGTAGATTGAAACCACATGTTCTGCACACTCTTTATGGGCATTATAATCCCAAACATGCTGGGAATGCTCACATTCTGCAACTCTTACAAAAACCCTAACAACCCTTTATGTATATCATATACGTGTCCAATTAGAAACCCTCAAAGCACGTGGCCACCAAACGATTCCACTGAAAAGAAATAAAAAAATTGCTTAAGATCGTAGTTGGCTTCTGAAACTGTCATCAAATGCCAAAGTTTGCAGGCATTGGGTGATTTTTTTAAAGCCAAGTTCACATGATCCCATACATATAACAGCGCAATACTTTAATATATAATAGATATTTTGGAGACAATGCAGATTGTACCACATGTATTGTTTAATAGAGAAATGGATACTTACGTATATGATGGTATTTACAATGAGGGTGTGCGTAAGATTAAGGTCTTATTCAGGTTCCATATATGACAATATCATAATTGCAAGATTATGCATAACTTTCCCAAATTACAAGGACTAGTGCCTTTCAGGCTAAACACTTGCTTCAAACCAATGGTGTTTCAATTAAGAATGTGTCATATTTTTTAGCATTCATTAATTATCGACCAATGCTGTTTTACTGCTGTTTCATTTAGAACTGCGTCCTTGTTTTATTGAAAATGAAGTGTTTGTATTAGTGTTCGTGTTCATCCAATTATACATAAAGATCTCTAATACAATTCATTCTTTTTTATCAAGAATATAAGAGAAAATAAGAACGAAATTCTTTTTAAGTACGAGGTAACTACTTCAAAATATTCACCCTACTTTCGGTCACTTTTTTTTTTAATTGAGAAAAATGAAAATTTGAGGGAAAATGTTTACTGTATACACATACGAAAAATTAGTTTGAATAAAAATTTCACTACATACAAATAAGCCGAAAAATCATAGATAAAAAAATATATCATGTCCTTTTATGTATATAAATTTAAATAACAATGACTTTAATTTCTTTTTCATATGTTTTATATATATATTAACATAGTGGTAGGTATTTAAAAGTCTTAAAATATTTCTTTATTATAATAATAATAATAATAATAATAATAATAAGAAGAATAGTTTTTTACTGAATTTTTTATTTTTAAAATTAAAAAATTAATAGTTATTTTGTTAAAACCGTTTTATTTTTTTAACTTGTAGTATTTCATAAATTAAAAAAATAAAATTGATAAATTATTCTAAGGATAACTTATTTTATTCAATAATAATAATATTAACAATAATGGTTTTTTCTTTACTGATTTTTTAAATTTTTGTTTGTTAAAATTAAATATTATTTAATAGTTTGTTTTTTATTTAAGGATAATTTATTCTATTCAATAACTTGTTGAAGTTATTTTAACTTGAAGTGTATGAAGAAGAACCATAAAGCAAAATAGAAGAGTTGGTTTCATTGTAAATACAGTGACAACAGATCATATGTCAATTAAATTATTAAATTTGAAATATTTAAACAATTATTAAGTAACTTGTTACAACTTCATCTGGGTTTACAATTAATCAATACTGAAGAAACAAAAATATAATAAAAATAATTTATGAAGACGTTGTTGGTTGGAGTAGAATTTGGTGTGAGATGATTAAAATGTTATTAAAAGGGAAGTGTTGTGCAGAGTAAATTAGTTAATTGTTGATGTGATGAGAAAAGAAAAAACTAAGAATTAATTGCCCGACAGACAGAGAGGGAAGCATCCTTGCATGAAATTTAGCAAGTTAGGGAACAACTCATTCATACTACAAAAGAAAAGAATGGGTGAGGGTAGGTGCTATGGCGTTTATCAATTTGACAGCGAGCCATTAGAAAAATGTTGCAAGAAGCGTGTTGGAAGGGGAAGAAGATAATACATCCATGACAGTGACAACATTCATTTTCGATACCCATTACTACCATGATGTCGATGGTCTCCACACTGTCCAAGTAAAACTGAAATTAACACATCGTATCATTAATTAAATAAATAACTCATAAATATAAAATAAAATTCTATCAAAATACGATACATTTACATTGTATCTGCGTGTTCATACTCACCTCACTCACCTAAGCTTAAGTTTCTACTATTATTACCATGCATGGCATGACGTGATGCAATATTGACCAATGAATTGTGACAATTTATTTATTTTGTTTAAACTTCAGGGTGCCATTTTGACCACTGTCAACACTGCCATATCATCCATATTCAGGAAAATCAAATGTACAAGTAAAGTGGAGAATTGAAAGTGAGGTGTGAAAACGCACTTAGATGGATGCTAGAGAGTAGGTGACAGTGATCTCACATGAAGACTTCCATTAAACCCTAAAAATGGTGCAGTGACATGAGTGAGTTCTCCGATTGATCAGTGCAAAAAATTAAAAGTGGGTACGGCCAAATCGCAATTGTGCTCCATATCCCAAAAATTCTTTATTTACTCTTTATCACCCACGTTTTATTTAACACATTCTGTGTAGCATTTCAAGAGTTATTAAACATGATTTACACACTTGTATTATAGTTTATATGAATGAAGTTTTTATTATATTAAGTAACCAGACTTTTCCATACGATGCCCCTTTTCCTATGTTGTCATGAACAACAAAATCGACAATATCTCATTCACGAGAATGACTATTTCCAACTCTCTTTGTTTTCATCCACTCTTCCATATGTTTGTCTTCTTCCCCTCTTGGAATTTGTGTTTGATTCTTTCTTTTTTTATGCCCACTTTGTTAAGTTCGGGTGGATTTGGTTCATTGTTGGTACTGCTTGATGAGATCAGCCCACATCATTGCAGGGTCTTTCTTCAGAGCAACGGCAAACAGTTCTGCTCTAGAATACACGGGTATGATTCCAAAGCAAGCTAAAATAATCGGTTTATGGAGTTAAGTGCAAGGGAGAATGAGAATCTCTCCTTATTTTAATGGTACACGCCATGTTGCCTGCACTCAGGGGCACTTGCAACAATAGTTTTAATTTCTCATGCCCCATTAATTAACTCAATGTTTCAAGAAAACTTTGTTACATAAACCAACTTAGGGGGGAAGTCACTAGCCCTTTATTCATTCATATAAAAAATTTCAAGATTTTCAAGCCCGGCCAGAAAATTTATACTTGATATATTCTATTTTATACACCAAGTTTCCAAAACATGGGTTTTAATTTAAAGAACTCATAATTAAGTGTGGTAATTGATCGATGGCACCCTCTTGATTTCACAGGGAAAAACTAGTACATTGAAATTTTAAATTAATTGACTCTTCTTTTGATTCAATTGAAATGCTGCTGCTCCAACCATGGCCAAAACCCGGATTGATCATCCATGCCACAAAACATGTTGCTTAGGCTTTCTTCTTTGACCATTTGGTCAATCTTTTGGCATGGCAGTTCAGGTCGTGAAGAAGTTTGGAAAAGCTGAGCAACTCCTGCAGGCCTAGCAGAAGATGGGAAGAGGGGTCTGCTTGGCTGATGTGTAGATAGAGGACTGTCAATAGCTGGTGTCCTTGAGATATCCAATTTGATGTCTGAACTGTTCTCACTTCTATTGCTGCAGGATCCTTCTGTTTCTTTGTTAAGGTTGATAGATTCAGTTGGCTCTCTACTTTTCAGTGCCAATATCTGCACCAGAAAAATTAGCTAATCCAATAAGAGGCTACAACAAACAATATGCATGCAGAAGAGCAGAACTTAAAGGCTAAAACACCATCCATATGCCCTCAAAAACAAGAGTGTCAAATTGAGAATTTTGAAAAACCTATGGAGACTAGAATAGGCATGATGAAAAATGATAACGCTTATATGTACAAAACAAAGCCAGTGAAGTATGCAAGAGAGAGAATGGAAGATGTCAATGGAGAGAATATGGACCATTGAATCTTGAAGAAGTCACTGTAGATGAAAGGAAAAAAAACAACTTTATAGAAAGTAACCAGTAAGAGAAGAGGTGAAAGGAACCGTTCTGAAAACTATACACAAGTCAAAAAAACATAAACACTTATGAAATAAAAAAGGATCATCATTACTACCACCAAGCTGTTTTCTATCAAAACAATCTCATCGAAACGGTTTCACTTGAAGAAATTCAAGATGTCAAAAGAGGCTTCATCTTTTATTTGTTTTCACCTTTCCCTTAGAAAAAGAAAAAGTTCAAAAGCAAAAGATGATGTGAAAGTAAGCAGGAAGGAGACTACACTACAGCACCAAATGATTGGAATTTGATTGTGAGTTAGAAGGAAACTACAAACCTCAGCCTGAAGTTTTTGGTTCTGAGTTTGAAGTGCATCATTATCTGACTTGACAGCTTCATACTGTCTTTTGAGGAGATCATAGTCTTTCTCCAACTGCTTGGTCTTCCACCTAGCCCTTCTGTTTTGGAACCATATAGCAATTTGTCTTGGCTGCAAGCCAAGAGCTCTGGCAAGCTGCATTTTCCTCTCTGGCTCAAGCTTATTCCCCAACTCAAAGCTCTTCTCAAGTGTCTTCACCTGTTCCATGTTAAGCCTCCTCTTCTTCTCCCCTGCCTGTGATCCATCATCAGACAAATCTTCCTCAGCATTGGCTTCTTCTCCGTGCTCAATTCCTGATGAAAATGACATGGATCTCTTTCCTAGAAAGGTCACTCCCCCTGCATCAACATTCGGAACTGGGTATCAGGCACAGAATAATTGAGTGTGTGCTTGTATTTGTTTGATTCTTAGTTATAGAGAGAGTGTACCATGATATTCTTGAGGTGCACACGCGGGTAGAATTGACGTGAGTGAAGGTGGAGGTTGATGATCATCATGGTGAGGGGTTTGGAGCATGAAATTTGCTGGGAAGAAAGCCATCTCATTGCAGGTCTTAGGCCTGCCAAAAATCTTCAAGATCAGCTGAATGATAGTGTGATCACCACTTTGAAAGAATAAGATAAGATTGCAGATGCTATAAGGTTAAAGAAGAAATGACAAAGGATTACTGCACCACATCCTCTGACAAATAATTTCGTAGCCAACTAAACAAGTTCTTCAGTTGAAAGAGGATGAACTAATTGTTCTGAATGGTGGCTCGTATATACATTATCAATGCTAGCTAGAGTTTTTGTTCTCTAGTGCTACTGTTTGAAAGGAAATGAAGTTAGGAGGGAGAGGAAAGAGAGAGGGGGAGAGAGAGAGAGGGGGATAGAGAGGGATGTTTGAATCTATAGACTATCTAGTTCTGCACATCACCTTCCATATATATCACCGGGTATTTTTTATTTCTTTTCCTAATTGTAAGTAAACTATTAGTGTCAAATAACATAAAGAACTCCAATTTATTGTGTACATAAAAAAGGAAAAACAATTAGTTAAGCATTTGTAGGAAAAAAATAAGCAGTAACTATATTAAATGTAAAAGGATGTTTAGTGTACATGAGAAAACAATAAAGTAAAAGAGATTGTGCTTAGAAAGGAAAGCTTGCTTCTCTGCCTCAACTTGTCCAATATTATTATTCCAATGTAGTGTGTGCATGTGTAAGCTCTTAAAATGTAATTATTTTCCTAATGATAAACTAGTTTCTGAGTTAGGAGACAAGAAGAGGGGGTTCTTTTTAACAAAGACAGTTGTCTTTAAATATGACGATGGAATTGGCAAATTGGCATTGCAGGTAGTTGCTTTCCATGTCTATGATTCCATTGTTAAAGGGCAAGCAGGAAATGGAGACTCTTATATGATTATTATTATTATTATTGTTATTTTTATAGTTTTTCTTTAATGTGAAGTGGGAAATGGTTATGATGATTACATTAGTAAAAAGTCATAAACAAAAGACATAGGATGGGGCAGTGTTCTCACTGAGAGGGAAAGATGGAGAGAGGTTTTGTTAGAAAAATAAACTTTACATGGTGTGAGGGTGATATTTGTATGTTGTGTTAAATTTTTTGAAGGGAAGAGGTTACTTAAGAAAAAAGAGATGTGAGTTGGCTATAACTTTATGTCCAAAATGGACTGTTTTTTTTTTTAGTGTGTGAGAGGGAAAGAGAAAGAGAAAGAGAGGGAAAAGGAAAGAGAGAAGGGGCAGGAATCTAGGGGATGGGTCCAATGAGGAGGGGCAGGGTTTGCTACCTAACCCACCAACAGGTATCGTGTATTAGGACGAAGCTCTTTCGCATCACCCATTATCCCTTTCATCACTTCCAGCCCAACCCCTATCTGTGTTTTCAGCTACGTCATCCACTTCAATTCAAACTTCAAAAAACACAACCTATTATGCCTCTTCTTCTTTCATGCAATTTTCATCACTAACTAACTTTTTTTTTTTTTACACTGTTTTCAATTTTTTTAGTTTCTCCTTATTTTGATTTCCAAATCATTTCAAGCAAAAGAAGTGTTATGATTTTCATGAAAAGAGTACATATTCCACCAAGAGTGAAAATATTTTCCTGCTGTTGCTACCCTACCAGAGCTGCTCTTCTTTGTCCTTTTCCTACCCATTTATAATGCAAAAATGAACCATGACACTCAAGTGCCAATCTGCACTTACGTCACCTCTATTCTAAGAACCATTTTTTTTTTGGTTTACATTTTGGAATTTTATATGATTCTCCTCATCATACATCATTTATCTATTATAGTAATTCTCTGAGTTTATTAAATTAGTCTTTTCATATCTCACTATTTCATGAAAACACGTATAAATTCCAGAAAAGTTTGTGGCTTAATAAATTTCTTCCTCGTAACCACGCTAGTTTGGAGATATACTCAGTGAAAGAGTAGAAGTGTAAATTTGAGTTAACATCCATCTCCTTGATTCTCATCTGACCTTATCCACTGCCAACTCCCTTTCAAGTTGCCCAATAGTACATATCCTGTATATATATTAAATTTGTATTTTTGTATATTCTCTTCAACCTTCTCTACCTCGTTGTACTCAATTTGAAACTAAATATGCAATACAAGTTGTAGCAGTAAACAATTAGTAATCTCTTTAAAAACAAATATGAAGGCTATGGTTTAAGTCTGTGTGACAGTATGTGGTGGAGCTGTTAGCATGCAATGCAAGGGAAGTCAAGGTGATTGTGTCTGCAATGGCATATGTTAGAAGATAAAGATGAAGGAGCAAGTGTTGAAGAATTGAATGGCCTTCAACAAGTGTCTAGTTTGGCTTAAGTTACAAGGCAATTCATGATGGATGGAAGACTTGGCTATGTTAGAAGGAGACAGAGATATAGAGGCATCAGGAAATTACTTCCCTCTTTCAAACTGAGGTATCTTCTGCTGTAAGTTGCCAGAGAAGACCAGTCGAAGTGTCTGGTACAGTATGAATTTAAGTTTGGAAGTGAATATTTCCACATCAATGGTAAAAAGGACATGCTTTTCAATTTTCTTAATCATTGTTCAATTTGTCATCTTAAATCAACATATTTTTTTTGTGTAACAAAATGGTTGGAGGGTGTGTCATGAGTTACATTTTTAAGATTTATGTTTTTTTTTTCCATAAAGTAAAAGGTAGATTAAAATTTACTGTTATTTTGGTGCTGCTATCTTTCATCAATCTCTTTCTTATATTTGAAACATGAGGTTGAGAGAGGAATTAAGTTTCCAGCATGTGGTCACAAATTAGCTTAATCACCTATAAACACGCATCACTGTCGTTCTTCTTCGAGTTAACGGCTTACGAGACTACTTTCTTCTAATCCATCAATCAATTGATTTAACATTTTTTACTTCAATAAAACTAATCTGGTTCATTTATATATATATATATATATATATATATATATATATATATATATATATATATATATATATATATATATATATATTGCATATGTTGTAAGTATATAACATTTCAACTAAATTCAGTTTTTTAAAATGTCTAATTTTTAATAAAAGTTGGTTGCATAATATCTTCTTCCAACAAATTTAATGGCAAAAAAAGGTATCGAATAGGATTGGAAAAATTAACGTAAATATATGGATGGTAAAACTCTTAATCATTGTTTGGATTACAAGATAGATGTAAGGAATGAAAGAAAAATGTATAAAAATTTGTGAATAATAATAAAAAAATGTATTAGTAAACAAAAATTAAAAATAACCAAATTACCTTTAAATAAAAAATATTATTATAATTATTAATATATTATAATTATTTAAATGATTTGTATTCTAATTATTAATATTATTATTATTAAAATAATTACTAGTATTATTATTTATATATTTATTATTATTATTAGACTGAATCAATTCTCAGGTTTAATAATAATAATAATAAAATAATAATAATAATAATAATAATAATAAATAATCGATTCCATTATTATTATTATTATTATTATTATTATTATTATTATTATTATTATTATTATCAAACAGAGTTAATTTATTCTTCTTTCATAATCAAACAAGAAAATAAATTATTTTTTTAATAAATATGGGTTGAGAATCGTTTGTAGGTAAAAAAAAAAATCTATTTTTTATTTAGTAAATATGACAATCGATTCTTAATAGAAATTATTTGTATAAATAACACGAACTGAGCTGTCGTCTCTTCACCTTACCAAAATCTTTCATCCACTCCATCTCTCAAATTCAGAAGACATTTATCCGCATAAATAATAAACAAGTGAAAACAAAGACAAGGTTATGATACGATTATGTTGCAGACGGATTGTATAACATAATAAATTAAGTCTTTTCAATAATTGATCATGTTATAACTTTTTAAAATATATATTTATTTTTTTCTTTTATAATAATAAAAAAAAATTAAAATGAAATATATATAAATTTTTTCAATTTTCATTTATTTTCTCTTAATTTAAACAACTTTATTTTTAATTATATTTCTCTTTAATTTTTTTTACTTCCTCAAATATACTGTTTAATCCAAACAAAATATTAGAAAAAAAATTAAATAACACTTTATAATGAATTGAAGAAAAGATTAACACTTTAGAAAAATACATCATTCAAATAAAAAATATATTGTAGCGTCTGTCAAATAAAGAAATATATAATAGTATAATATATAATAGATATTCAATATTGATAAAAATGGATATTAAAATTATTGTATAAGAACTGATTATGAAAAAAGTTTTTTTTTTGCTGTAAAATAAATAGTGTATGTACAAAAGTGGTTTTTATTTCTCTCACAATGAGTTTTTTTTCTGTAATTTGTAATTTTTATTATAGAAATAATTATATTTTTCTCATTTAGAAAAAGCATATTGCGTCATTAAAATTTATAATAATAATTAAATTGTGTCACCCATTATTTTTATTTTTAAATTTATAAATAAATTCAATTAATAGTTTTATTAATCATATTTTTATATTGATTTGTCTATAATAATTTGATAATTAAATGTTAGAACATCTTCAATAGAAATCATTAATAAGAGTTGAGTGGTTTAAAAATAAAAATAAATATTTTTACTATAAATTTTATATCATAATTATAAATTGAAAAAAGTTATTTAAAATTAGAAGAAAGTTATTTATATAAATAATTCTGATCAAATTTCAAACAATTTATATATAAAATCTATAATAAAATATTTATATTTATTTTTAAACAATTTTTGGTATGGAAATATTAAGTTATAGTGTACGCACAACTTTAATATTTGAGATACAATAATAGTTTTTTTTTTTTTTTTTTTTTTTACTATGTGCAACTTTAGGGTCAAGGCCATTCCCCCATGACATTTCTCACTTGACCAAGAAACGTGGATATCAACACGGCTAAACCCTAAACCAGATTTTACTAAATTATCACATTATTCTATTTTCCCCGAGCCAAACTATAATTCTATATAGAAAATATTCTTAAATCAAAACTTTGTACTCTGAAACCATATCCAAATCTAACTGGAATCACGTTAATTACTAAGTCAAACTAAAATTAACTATTAAGATTTAGTCTAAAGTGTACAATTTTTCATTTATTTTTTCATTGAGTTAAAATCATGCATAACTATATTTATACTTCAAAAAATAATTTTGAACTAAAATATATATCACATAAAATTTGAATATTCACATAATTTCGTATGAATTCCAAATTCAATTCTTTATATTGGTTATATTTTGGACTTAAAATTAACTAATATTAAACAAAATATTATGAAATATATAAGTCATATTTAAATAATTGATACAGGTGATCAACTGACATCTTCCTCAACTTAGGACAATGATGTCAAATTCTCCGAGAGATTAAGAAAATTTTGATATCATTGTAAATTTTAACTTAATATTAATTAATACTGAATAAAGTGAACAATAGATTATTCTTCATTCAACTTATGAATTTTATGAATTGCTAAATACTAGTAAAATCAAATTTCATTCAATAGTCTAATTAATCATTATCAAGATAAAAAAATATCAAAACATAACAAAAATATCAAAAACGTAACTCATTCAATAAATATCAAATTGATCCATAAAATCCTAACCATCAAGTAAAAGAGTCAATAACACCTTCCACAAAATCAAATTATAATTTAAAACCTAAACTAAAGTTTAAAACAAAACTAGTTTCCCTTATTTATACGTGAAATTCAGAAACTAGAGTAAAAGTCTCACTTTTTTCTCTATATTCTCTTACAATTACTAAATCAAATATTTTTTGATGAGGTGATTAAAGCTTCCCACTTTCTACTTGCACCCCTTCTTTACTAAATTCACCTCATTTTTCTTTTGAGTCTTAAAACCTAGTTATTATTGTTCTCACCACTTTAACTTCAACATAACTAACATCTTTTATGAAAATCTAAAACTAATCCACATACACACAAAACAATATATGATTATTATAT